GTTTATTTCAGGTCAGCTTATGGAGCTTGTTCTGTTAGGTTTGCTGATTTGTTTTGAAGACTTTGCTGTGATAGGTTCACATGGTGGCACAATGATTGGAATGCAGGCTTACTCTGGCGACTGCCAGCAGATTGATTCTCACTAGGATCAGTGTTGACTCAGCCTTCCATCCTTCTGAGTCGGTAAAATGAGGACCCAGATTGTTGGGGGAAATAAGCTGACTCGGTAAACCACTTAGAAGGGCTTTAAAGGACTGTGAAGCAGACAAAACATGAAAGGGGAGCGGAGAGAAAGAGTCCAGTTTCCAAGGTACGCCAGAGTGGGAGGCCAGCGACCCAGAGAGCTTCTTCCCCGTCTTCCCAGGAGCATGGGACGTCTTGCGACCAGGCCCTGAGCTCCCTTGCAGTTTGTTCTGCTGCTGGAGGATGGGCTGCAACTGTTCTACCTTGGCCCAAGCCAGCTCCTTGCATCATCTCCAGGTGCTGGTACCTGGCCTTGCACTCCTGCATGTCTTTCCTCTGCTTATAGTCCTCAGTAAGGTGCATCTGCTGAGTTTTCTTCCCAGTTAGATCCAATTTGAACTGAGCCAGCTGTTTTGCAAACTCTTTCTCCTGGGGGATGCTTGCTCCAACCACTGCTTCCTGTTGGGGCCCTAAGGAGCCCAGGTAGGCAGGCAAGGAGTGTCTGGGGGGGGCGGAGTAGAGGCCAGCGAGGTGCCCTTCGACGTGACATCGAGTTGGCCATGCCCACCAAGTCATGTGACCACCTAGCCACATCCAGACAGCCAGTCATTAGGCAGATCATATTAGTGCTCCGTGGGATTTTTAAATTATGAATTTAGTGGTCTCTGAGGTCCAAAAGGTTGGTGACCCCTGCTCCAAAGCACCTGAGGGCAATACAAGAAGTAATGGATGGAAACTAAGAAGCAATGTAGAACTAAGAAGAGATTTCCTGACAATAAGAACAGTTAATCAGTGGAACAGCATCAGAAGTTGTGGGTGCTCCAACACTGGAGGTTTTCAAGAAGAGATTGGACAGTTGTTTGACCAGTATGATGTTGGCTCTCCTGCTTGAGCAGAGGTTGGACTAGAAGATCTCCCAGGTGCCTTCCGATTCTGTTATTCTGTCTCCTTTAACATCAGTGCCTGACACGCCTATATAGGACCGTGCACCTTTGGTCCCCTTGAGTTAATAGAAAATAAAATAATACAGTCGGAAGGGACCTTGGAGGTCTTCTAGTCCAACCCCCTGCTTGAGCAGGAGACCATTTTCGACAAATGGTTATCCAATCCCTTCTTAAAGGCCTCCAGTGTTGAACCACCCACAACTTTTAAAAGCAAGTTTTTCCATTGATTGATTATTCTTACTCTCAGGTTGATTTAATAAAGCTAGTTTCACTGGGGTCCCTTCAGACAGTTGGAAAAAAAATGTAAGGTTCTTCTTTAAAATTACAGACGTTGGAATGGATTGGATTGGATCCTGCAACATTTGTATCTTATCGCTTTATTTCCCCCTATCAACTATGTAATTCATTTTATTTTATTGGTAAGATTGCAAGACGAATCAATCAACTACTAGTATGTTAGAAGTAAAGCTCAGAATTTTCCTTGAGCTACACCACAAGCACATAAACCCTTCTCAGTGGATAAGAGGAGAATGTTTGTAGGGTTGGAATGAGGGGGCTTTGGTGCTGAGTTTGGTTGTTTTCTTGCAGACGTTTCATCAGGGGAGATGTTACCTAGTTGGGTTATGAAATGTCTGCTAGAAAACAGCCAAGCTCAGAAAGCACCAAGGACCCTTTCTCAATATATCTTATTTTCAGAGTGACTTTCTTCTCCAGCACAGCATAAAATATGTAGTTAAATGGACAAAACAAGAAAACCTAAAAGACACCAATGAAAAATAAGAAATCTGATTAACATAGTCCTGGGAGGAGGGGAGGAGAGGGAGGGAGGGAGAGAGAGAAGGGGGGGAACCTCTCTTGAGCCCCGCCCTGGAGCTTCCTCTTCCTGTGTAAGGCCAGGTATTCTGACTGGTTGTCAGACTCCCATGGAGCCATGCAGAGGTAACTTGTAGGTTGTCTTGAGTCCCAGGCTTGGTTGAATCTTGCTGGGTGATGATGTAATGAAGAGGGTTAACTGGCTGCCAGAAAGGATGGGTTATTCACTAGGTCATTTTTTATTCTCTTTATCCAGGAATATATAAAGAAAACTATGATGGAGAAAAGCACATAGGTCATGCTGTGCTGATTGTGGGTTATAACCATTCCAGCAAGGGCAATGGCTATTGGATTGTAAAGAACAGGTGAGTAAACAGACATCAATCTGCAGAAGTGTTAAAAATGGGAATTTTACTTACTGTATAACTTAATTGTTTTTCCCATGAGATTTTTGTCACAGAGCAATTTTATTTTACTTTATTTTATTTATTATTTGTTTTTATTTATTTGATTTGTTAATCGCTTACAAGATAATAGGTATAAGTATAAACATGAGTAAAAATACAGGAAATAGGTACAAATAAATGGGGACAATAGGACAGGGACGGTAGGCACGATGGTGCACTTATGCACGCCCCTTACAGACCTCTTAGGAATGGGGTGAAGTCAATTGTGGATAGTTTGAGGTTAAAGGAGTGGGGGTTTAGAGGATGTAACAACAGAGCTAGGTAATGCATTTCAGGCATTGACCACTCTGCTGCTGAAGTCGTACTTTCTGCAATCGAGTTTGAAGTGATTTACATTGAGTTTGTATCTGTTGTGTGCTCTTGTATTGTTGTGGTTGAAGCTGAAGTAGTCATTGACTGGTAGGACATTGTAGCAGGTAATTTTGTGTGCTATGCTTAAGTCTAACCATAGGCGGTGTAATTCAAGGCTGTCCAAGCCCAAAATCTCAAGCCTGGTGATATAGGGTATTCTGTTGCGAGCAGAGGAGTGTAGAACTCTTCTTGTCAAATACTTCTGGACTGCTTGATTGTATTAATGTCCGATATGCAGTGTGGATTTCAGACTGATGAGCTGTATTCGAGTATTGGTCTGGCAAAAGTTTTGTATGCTCTAGTTAGCAATTTGATATTTCTGGAGGAGAAGTTTGGTAAGATTAGATTTACAACTCTTAATGCCTTTTTGGCAATGCTGTTACAGCATGGCACTTAGGTCATTTGATATGAGAACTCCAAGGTCCTTGACAGAGTGAGGATCATCAATGAGGTCATATCCACCTAGTTTGTATTTGGTGTACTGATTCTTTTTACCAATGTGTAGGACAGAGCATTTGTTGGTTGAGATTTGGAGTTGCCAGATGTTTGACCATTCAGACACATAATCAAGGTCGCTTTGAAGGATAGTAGCATTGTCGGTGGTGTGAATAGTTTTACATCATCCACAAAGAGGACACAGTTGCTTATAAGGTGATCGCAAAGGTCATTTATATAGAGTATAAAGAGGGTGGGTCCTAGAACGCTGCCTTGTGGGACACTGCTGTTAACTGGAGCAGGGTTTGATATAGCACTCCCTATTTTTACTATTTGTTGCCTGCTTGACTTATGAAGGGATCCAGAAATGCTGTAAGAGTTTAGTTTTAACAGTAGTGTGTCATGGACCACTGAATCAAAGGCTTTGCAGAAATCTATGTAAATTACATCTATAGCTTTACCCTGGTCAAGTAGAGCAGTCCATATGTTTTTGCAGTAGGAGTTGAAGATTGCAGGACAATTTTTTCCTGAAACCAAATTGATTTTTGGAGAGTAGGTTGTTTGACTCTAAGTGGAGAGTGATGAATTGGTTAATGATTGATTCCGTGACTTTGCACGTGACACAACACAGTGAGATTAGTCTGAAGTTTTCAACCAGGCTGGGGTCACCTTTTTTGAAGATAGGGATGACCGTAGCTAAGGACCATAGTTTTGGTAAGGAGTTGGTTCTGAATGATATCTCATATATAATGCTTAGGGTTTCCGCTATGGCAGAGGGGAGCTTTTTTTAAGAAGTATGCACATAATCCATCAGGCCAATAGATAGGGATGGTTTTAGGTTACGTAGTGCCTTTTCTACATTATCTTCTGTAAAGTCAATATGTAGTAGGTCATTACAGTTTGTTGTGGTATGACCAGGAAATGTGGGGCATGAACCATTGCTTTTTACAAAGACTGAACTAAAGAATGTGTTGAAGAGATTGGCCTTAACAGCTTCATCATTGCAGCCTTTCCCATTTGGTCCTTTTAGGGGTGGGATGGTTCTTGATTCCTTAAGTTTGGTGTTCACAAATTGTAGAAGGCATGCGTAGATTTTATACATAGGAGGTTTTCCTCTTGCTTGCAGTGGTAATTTGTGCGTTCTGCCTTTATCTGTCGGCATAGGGTGTTGTATTGGTTTTTAAAGCTCAGCATCATTGATATGAAAGAAAACTAAAACCAAATATTAGAGCAGTATATGCCTTCAGTTTACAGTTGGTCATGATGTGATATACACCCATAATCACACTGAGGGGAGGATACTATGCCCCATTTATGCAGTGAGACCCAGCAGATGCTGTGTGGGGTCTGCAGGATGAACATACCCAGATCTTCTTTTGCTTAGTTTCCATCTTGAAGTCAGGTTGTATATCCTCTGTGAAGCCATGGACCAGGGAGCTGGTCTAAAGTTGCCATGTAGCTCCTCTTTTAAAGATGGCTGCCACCTGTTAACACATGGCAAAAAGCCTCCCTTTGCATCATGATTTTGGAGATGGCGAAACTTCAGCTAGAATCATGAATGATCCCCTGTGCTGCAGGATTGCAGAGAATGAATGAATAGAATGAATGAATGAGCTGGAAGGGATCTTGGAGGTCTTCTAGTCCAGTCCATGAAATGTTCTGTATACTAGATTAAATATTCTGTATTCTTACCTTCACAGCTGGTCCACTCTTTGGGGCGAGAAAGGTTACATGCGCTTAGCCAAAGGATCAAATGAATGCAACATCGCCGATGACGCCGTCTTTCCTCTCCCAGATCCAAAGAAAGGAATGTAATTTCTTCTTTCAGCATAAGGATTCTTTGAAATGCAGAGCTAATAGTTACCAATGAATGACCTGCTGCTTCTGAAGTTTCTGGAAGAAAAAAAAATGCTAATAAATGCTTTGGGGCAACGCTACTCAGATCTTACCTAGCACACGCTGTTCTATTATGCACATGTGTTTGTTAGAGACATTGGTATTGCTATAAATGTGGCCTATTTCCCCAGGGAATGTCAGAATTCCTGATGCATCTAGCACTGTAAAAAAAGGCCAGAAAATATGCATTATAAATATGTATTAATTTCATACACATCTGGTTCAAGATACGTTGAGATGACACTTTTTATTCGGCGCAGTGCATAGAAATGTGATCTCAGGACTACATCACAGCACATCACCTATTGAGAGCCCTCAGTTCTCCAATTGGCATGCCTATTACACACTTTTGGAAAACAAAGCACATAATCAATAGTAATAGGTAAAAAGCAACAATGTATTCACACCCATGATAAAGGATGCTACTTCCAGAAGGTGGGTTCATTCCTACAATATTACAGCCCTCACCCCTCTGTCCCTAATCAGTAAGGCTAATAGTTAAGTGTGCAAAGCTTTCAAGATAATTCATCTTCAACATGAACATGGGACTATATTCATTCAGTCGTGTCCAGATCTTGGCAATTCTATCCATCAGGTCTCTCCACATATTTCAATCATGTGCTATTTCTTTGAGTTGTTCTATGCTTTGGCTGGTGTCAGATTTGATGGTGTCCAATCACCCTATTCTTTGGTGGCCTGGTTTCCTTTTAGTGCCAATTCTTTCAAACATAATTTCTTTCTCCAGTGAATGGATAAAAAAATGGGACCCATTCTAAGTAATGGTTTGCAACAAGAGGCTCAGCCTTGTTTCCACTGCTGCTTTCCTTCAGGATGATACGTGTTCTTTGCTGTCATATAGACTTCTAAGAATTTTAGGGCCTGGATGTAAGGCCCAAGAATGAGAGGCCGCAAGACAAAAACATCTAAGAAAAAGAAGTGAGATGTTCAAATGAATATCTTTCAACAAATGGGGTCTTTCTGACTAAAACTAGCTATACAGGCAGTCCTTGACATAGAACCATCTGCTTAATGACCATTCAAAGTTATTACACTACTGAAAAATGTGACTTACAACCAGTTCTCGTAATGATGACTGTAGCAACACCCTCACAGTCAAGAACGAGACTGTGGCAACAAGCTCATGTGAAAATGGTTCGAGAACTTAGTAACAAGCTCATATGAAGACGGTTGCAGCATCTCAGGGTTATGCGATCACCATTTGCAACCTTCCCAGCTGGCTTCTGGCAAGGAAGGTCAATGAGGGAAGCTGGATTTGCTTAATGATAGCTTGATTTGCTTAACAGCTGGTGATTCATTTAACAACCCCAGCAAAACAAGGTTGTAAAATTGGACACGATTCACTTAACAACTGTCTTGCTTAAATAACAGAAAGCACTCTAGGCTGCCAGCCCAGTAGCATAAGTTTACTGCAGCTCCCCTCCATTTTATCACAGTACCTGGTTTTTTACATTTTTATTGCTTAACAACAGAAATTCTGGTCTCAAGTGTGGTCATAAGTCGAGGGTTACCTGTACCAATCCTACATAAGGACATCTACCTATCTAATCTGGAGGTTTTTAAGAAGAGATTGGACAGTCATTTGTTTGAAATGGTACAGGGTTTCCTGCTTGAGCAGGGGGTTGGACTAGAAGACCTCCAAGGTCCCTCCCAACTCAGTTATTCTGTTAGCTAGAGTAGGCCCAATTCCCTTCAACACTGCTACCTAGCAAGACTTGGGAAGCATGCCTTTTCCATGAGGGCCTCTGTCCTGGGGAGTCCTTTCCCCTTAAGATCCAGTATGCTCCCACTCTTTGGCAGGAACTGGGTCTATCTAGTCCTACAACACAAAAGGACTGGGGTGACATGATAGTAGTCTTCCAATATTTGAGGGCCCCAAAGAGAAGGGCACTGAATTCAATGAGCACTGAAGTACCTGAAGGCAGGATAAGGAGCAATAGATGGAAACTCATCAAGGAGCGACCCAATGTAGAACTAAGGTGGAATTTCCTGACAGGGAGAATAATTAATCAGTGGAATGACTTTCCCTCAGAAGTTGTGAGTGCTCCAGCACTGGGGGGGGGGGGGGGGGGTGTTTAAGAAGAGATTGGACAACCATTTCTCTGAAATGGTATAGGGTCTCCTGCTTTGGGGAGGGGGTTGGACAAGAAGACCTCCAAGGTCCTTCCATTTCTGCTCTTCTGTTATTGTCCTAGCCTTCCTCCTTTGCCTCTCAGCCTCAAGAGGAGCAGACTGTCCCTCTGCGCCTCAGAGCTCTTCTGCCACCTTCGCCTTCGCAAACCCTCAGAAATTGGAGGGAGTCTCCAAGGGCAACCGTGGGCAGAAATTGCTGGAGCCTGTGATTGGCTGCAGAGGAAGAAAGCATCACCCAATCAGAAGGGCCATATTCCCCACCTCTTCCCCACCCCCCCAAGTACAATTACTAGGCAGCTATTATATTATTACTCTATTATTACCCTATTACTCTATTATTATTACTCATCCCGTTGTTATTATAGAACTCAAGACAACAAACACATACACACTTCCTATTTTCCTCACAAAAACAACCCTGTGAGGTGGGTTTGGGTCAGAGCGAGTGACTGGCCCAAAGTCCCTCAGTTTTTATGGCTAAGGCAGGCCTGAAACTCAAACACACTGAGCCAAGGACACTAAAACGGTCATAAAATATTTAGAATGCCAAGGAAACTTCATGTGCTGAGAAAGACCTGGGAGATGAGGGAAAGCAAAAGAAAGTAGTTTATGTATTGTACATATTGATGTTTTATTTAGGAATAAGCACATTCCCTAGAGTTAGAAACTATGAAAGAAATTCTGCTCGTGGAATAGCGTCCCTCCGTTCTTTCAAAATCCTGGTCTTTGTAGTCCTCTCGCCTCAGGACTCCATAGCTTGAATGGCCTCTGTAATCTCACTGAGGATACGATTCAGTCAAATAACTGAGGGTCCTTGGTGTTCTCTGAGCTTGCTTGTTTTCTTGCAGAAGGACTTCATATGAAGGCACAATTACTCTTATAGGTCGCTCCTAAATGCTTTCTCACATTGCTGGGGAAGATTCCCTATGAAAATGCATTGATGATGTGATCCACTACAGGAAGATGTACTGTTCTCATGTGTTGCACAAAATGGAGGCACTGCTGTGCCCACTTCACCAGGGTCTCACTGTTAAAGTGGGCACAGCAATGCCTACTTCAATATCTATAGGCCCCTCACATCCTGGACATAAATAGTTTCAACTCCTACCCTCAAAACGCTATAGAGCCCTGCACACCAAAACAACTAGACACAAGGACAGTTTTTCCCCTGCATGCCATCCCTCCGCTAAACAATGAATTCCCACAACACTGTAAAACTATTTACTAAGATCATATCACTTTTTTCTTCTCCTCCCTATTCCCTATCTCCTTTTCAGCTTATGACTATAACCTTGTATCTTTACTATTTATATTGTTTTATTTAGTTTCCTAGTATGATTTGGTTGCTTATTAGTAACCTAGGACTATCGCGAAGTGCTGTATCTTATGATTCTTGATGAATGTATTTTTCTTTCTTTTTATGTACACTGAGAGCATATGCACCAAAGACAAATTCCTTTGCGTGCCCAATCACACAATAAAGAATTCTGTTCTATTCTATTGAGTGACCAAGTTAGCCTACTTGTTAGATGCAAACCTGGGCACATAGTGTGTTAAGGAGAAGGCTTGCTTCTGCAAACCCCAACAGCAAGGCGGAAGAAAAGAGCAATTAATTGTAGATAAAACATAGCTGAGCAAGCCAAAGCTTCCAAGCCAAGGAATCCAAATAAAATTAAAGATTTACAAATTCCAGATGAAGGGAGAGAGATGGTTAGTCAACAAGCCAGGGTTGCAAATAATTAGCTTCCAAGTGTCACAATATGCAAGCTGATGCTGATGTTATTTCTAACAAAAAAGCAAATTGCTCCTATGGGAATTCAAATATTCTTTCCGTTGAGCATGCACACAGCTGTAGTCAAACCTTGCTGATGAATTCAGTGGCTTGCTGCTTGCGCATGAGTGGCATACTTTAGTGAGCTGCAAAGATCCCAGGAGGAATTGCTGGGAGGTGGGCAAATGAGTTCCTGGAACAGCATACGTTGCTATTGAGTCAGGCCTGGTGGCACAACAAAAAAGGAAGGCATAAAAGGAATAAAGATTTTGGGAGGAGAAATACAGACCATTTTAATTAAAACATCAGAAGAATGTTGGCATGCAATCTGGGGACAATATTTTTTTTTAAAAGACATGGAAAAATAGGGTACATCCACCCGGACAGCATTCAGTTTGAAAAGAGACTAAGAAGAGAGGGTGGTTGGCTAAAATAAATCAAGGTCGCACACACACACGCTTGAAAGTAAATCAGGAAGCCTGTAATTGCGGAGTCTGATAAAAAACAAAGAATGCTTATTCACAGGAAATATGCATATGTCAAGCTGGTAACAATTCTGGGTAGTTAGAAAGCTGATAAAAGTAGCAAAAGAGTTAGGTAATTTGCAGACCTCAGTTAAAAGTTAGGAATAGAGATGGGCTGCAGCAAATAAAATGTATAATTAGATCACTCCTGGGGCATTCATTAGCCAAGGCTTGGGAATAGGGGCAGCTAGAGACCAATAGAACAAATTGTATAATTATTACTAAAATGTTTATTATTAGATGATACTTCTTATTATCCCACCTTCTTCTTTAGTGAAAACGTATGAAGCTTTCTTAATCCCTTTTTCTTGGTCAGGAGCCCTTTTCCCTGGGATAAAAAGCAGTCAAAATCTATACTTCGTGTCTGGTGTCCTTCGTTGGCCTTGGCACTGAGGGGGATAAGCTCTTGAGAGAAACGCAGGGAGTCCGGGAAAAGCTCTCCTCAGAGGCGGAGGAAGTATCATGATTCCCTCAGAATAATGTCCTCAAGGCATTAGCGGGGTTGCTTACCTCAGAAAAATGCCGCCATGGCTTTCGTTTTGTTGTGGAAATGAGTCACTTTCTGAAGAATTCAACTTTCCTACTGTTTTGGAGCAGGTCTTGGGACCTTCAAGTTGAGTCATTTATGTGAGTGGGGAGACTCTTTATTTCCCCTGTGTTTCCAGTGAGGCTTTTATTATGCAAAAATTAACAATCTGATTTCCTACCCTAACTGTTTACTAACCCTATGTCCTTTTACCCTAAAGTCATACCAGTATTTATGTCCATGATTATCTAATGATTAAAGAATCCGTTCTTTATTTATATACAGTATTTGATTTC